TAGTTTAATAAAAGTCGACATAGAAATGGACGTAGAAATGACCATATTAGAAGAGGCCGACCAAGGATATAAGGATATTTACAACGGGCCGAAGGAATTGAGTTACGAATGGTTTACAAACGAACCAATCAGATAGTGATATTGAAAAAAGAGAAAAAGACTTACCTACTACACGTTTTCGGCCTGTAATGCAATTATTATTGTTTGTTTGTATAGTTTTGTGTTTAACGCATGTACGTATAATACAGTGATGGGCATCTCGTAAATAAATAAACGGACGATTCGATTGTGTATTAGAATAATTTAACGGCCGGTATGCGTCCTTCAATCACTTATAAATTATTATTATAAGGTTAAAACAAAAAAAAAAAAAAAAAAAAAAAAAAAAAATAATAATAATAAAGAAATAATAATAAAACCGTTATCCCGATGTAATAGGTATCGTGGAGCAGAAACACGATGACCCGACGACGACGAAAACTCAATTTACATACACTTATTTAATACTAATGGAATTTCGACCGAGTATTATATACGTACCCTTACCTACTGCTATAACTGCTGTGCGAAGAGCTTTCGCGTATATAGTAGATATATTATTATTTCGAGAGTCGTTTATATAATACACAAACCACCGGGTGAAATCGCATTATGTAAATGTAGACTTAAAAAAAAGAACCCGGGCGGAACAAAAAATCGTTTTTCGGTATTATAATTGTTATTATCACCCGCGGCTGTTGTGCGACACCGGGTGATGACTTGGTACTAATATATAAAATATAGTATAGGGTGATTCATTTAAGTTTGCTAGCTCAATATTTTGAAAAGTATTGACTTTTACTTGAATTTGTTTTGTAAAATATTTTTTGAGTAACAAAACAACTCTAAAATTGCACATTGTCATTGTTGTGTTTACATTTTTTTAACCACGCGATAAACGATAGATTGCCGGATTGTTGTATATTATATAGGCACCTACATTTACGCAAAAATTAACGATTTATTCGTCTCCATATAGAAATTGTATCAATATCCCTGTTAGCTATTCGTGTTATTACATCGAAATATCCGATTATTAGGTATTACATAACTAATGGTCCGACGAGTTCATAAACAGTTTTTTTTTTTTTTACGGAGATTAAATATCATAGCCAATTAAGGCAATTTATATTTCAGTAATAGTAATTTAAACTATTCCTTTGGTGGTTTTATGGCGATAGGCTGATCGTTCATACTCTATTAGGCCGTGGTTTTTTTACAATTTGTTAGTTTTGTGCATAAGTAAAATAAGGAAAAAGTCAGTACGTTTATAAAAATGTCCAGTTATGAACACTGACAATAAGATTATTTCGTATCAATACTTTTGTCAATATTTCAATTATTAATTACTACAAGCATTATATTATTTATTAAATTATATGCGATATGAGTTTAATATTTTATTAATTTGGTTGTTAAATTCTAAGCGAAACGAGGAATTAGTTTTACAATGAGGTTTATTTTTTAAATTTTTTTTTTATAAAATGTGTACAAGAATTCTACCAGAAATCGTATTCTAATGTATGAAGTGTAGCAACTTTTCTGAAAGAGAATTTTATCTAGTTAGTATTTTTATGGAGGTCATTTTTTTGATTTTCCAAAGATTTTCATAATAATTGGGGAAAAGTAGGAAAATTTATGAAGTATATTTTTTTTAATTTTGTTTTTTGTTGTGGTTCAGTTGAAAATATACGTAGAGACTTGAAATTTGGATAGAAAACTGGTAGACTAAACAGAAATGCTCGAAAATTTAACAATAGGTTCATTATAAGTCGTAATTAGGAATCAAAAAAAAAAAAAAAGACGTATTAGGATAATAGGGAAGGGTGTAGACACTGTTATAGGTAATTTAGTGTATCGGTTAAGAGCGATTGAGAAAATGCAATTTGTTCAATGTATATCTAAAATGTTGTCCTAGGATAATAAATACGGGTGCAGTCACTGTTATATATAATTTAATGTATGTAAGTAACGATAAACCATTTCTTACGAAAAAAAACGATTTTGAGCGGAGTTCAGTTGATAGTGATGCTTTGTCAATAATATATATATATATATATATATATATATATAATTTAATAGTGAAATAATTAAATAGGCTTTATATATTTTCTTTAATAATAATTGTTTAATGTGCAGCAATTCTCACAGTTTTCCTACGTTTTTCCCATTTTTCTTATATTTTATCCTGGTTTTTTACATTTGCAGGAGAAATTTCTTGGAAAAATCGAAAAATGACCTCTCTAAAGTATCTCCTCACACCGATTACCTTTCAGAAAATCTGAAGAAGTCTTCTGGTAGAAAATTTGCGCACAGATAAAAAAAAAAAAAAGTAAACATCTTTGCAAAATCATAACCGTTTTTCACTCCGCTCAGAATCTAAAAACAATTTGAGTGAAATTTTTTTTTATATGAATTTTAATATAGTATTTTGACGAAAATCATAAATATTAAGGCCTATATAAACATGTATAACTGTTCGTTTAACATATATTCCGTTTTTGCTATGTTTTTCTCAGTTTTGCATAGTATTTATTAAGAAAACTACACGAAGTATAATAAAACAATATTCATAATTACAAACTATATAAAATTATCTTTCAGAAAGGGCGCTGCTCTTGAAAATCAGAGAAAGATTTCTGGAAGAAATTTACAAAAATAAAAAACTTATAAATCATAACACTAATACGTTCATCGCTGCGTTTAGAATTGAAAAATATTTTAGACGATCGTTTAAGTTTTTTTTTTTAAGACGGGAAAATTTTTAAATTCTACTATTTTTACTTCCCCTCTCTTGATTTTGAATTATAACCACCACTGATGTTAAAGTGAAGGACACATTTACGAAGAAACAACGAACGACGGCTCCTAAAATTCAAGAACTGTTGGAATTAGTTGAACTTTTGATTTGTAAGTTACCATATTCCGACCCAGGTGATTCCGTGTAAAACCAAGTTAGAAATTATACCTACAAGTTAACTTGCAAATTCAAGAGATTATTTTAGCTTTTTGAAAATCTTGATAGTATCTCTGCAGGTCTCCCCCTGATGCGTGGTCCATTTCATTAGTCCCAGGACAGAAGGGCTTGAGTTAATTGTTAGCATTTGTTATTTATAATTTTTTTTTGTGCAATTTTGTCCTTTTATATTTGGTCTAAATTGTATGGCTGTGTGAACATTCAAAATTAGTGTAGGATGTCGTGTATGAATGTATATGAATTTTCAAAATTTCATTTGCTATTGTATCGAAAATTATAAGAAATTTACTTTGGTCCTTTTCTCAGAAATTAAATATTTAATATAAAATTTTAGTTTATAATAAGATATCGAAATGATCCACACATGCCAACTGTACAACGATTATATTATAAAATAATTTTGTCGAGTCGAAGTAAATATTATTTGTTTTTCCTAATATAATATTTATAATTTTTCACTAAAATGTATGCCTTCTATGTGCTTTTTGTCTCTATATAAAAAAAAAGAAAAAGAAAAAAAAACACGGTTTATATTATAAAATATAATAGTATACGAACGCGTATATAATATAAATATATATTTTTTTTAAATGTGTATACATATATATATATAGTGAGCCTAGTTTTATAAATAATTCATTAGTATTTCGAATGTACGATTAATGTACAGAAAGCACGATCGCAACGAGGGAGTCGTAATAATATTTTCTTTGGAAAATAAGTCACCGAGGGGAAATTTGTTTATTTGTTTCGTCGACTGGTCGGGTGTACGAGTATAGGGTAGGTACAGGAGGAGATTTTTACTGTGTATACCATTGTGCACCTACAAATATAATAATGGCGCGTACTTATAAGGCGTATAATTTTTTTAAAAATAATTTTTTTTTTTTTACACACATTTTAAACGTTAGTGTAAAATAAACGTAAACAAAAAAATGTATGTATAATATACACAATCAGTTGAAATAGCATTAAAATTAACAAAATTATTTTATTATACTCAAATTATGAAGTATACCTTTTAAAAAGTTGTTATTGTCACGTTTATTATGGACACTAACTTCGAAATGGAAAAATAAAGGAACAGAGATTATGAGACTTAAAAATAATTAGTCTCTTTAAATGATCAAACTAAACCTATTCCGTGCATAATAATTAGTAGGGGTACGCTTGTGTTTTAGATTCTGAGTGGAGCAAAGGAGCTTATGGTTTTACAAAGATATTTATTCTTTTTTTTTTTTTTTTCTTTTTTTTTTTTTATCAGTGTGCAACTTTTCTACGAGAAGACTTGCTCGGATTTCTACGCGTAGAATTTTGTCTAAAAGGAAATCGGTGTAGGGAGGTCATTTTTCGATTTACTCGAGAATTTCTTATCAAATTTGAAAAACTGAAAAAACGGTATAGTAAAGAAATGTAGGTATTAGTTAAAATATATTACGGCCTTCTTTTTTTCTGTACACAACTTTTTTGTCAGCAATTTTGCTCCAACTTTTGATGTAAAAAATGTTTCTAAAAGAAAATTTCACTAGGGAGGTCTTTTTGAGTTTTTCCAGAAATTGTGAACAACTGGGATAAAACATGGGAAAACTGGGAAAATTGAAAAAATTGGTACAATATTAAACAAATATTATTAAAGAAAATATATAAAGCCTATTTAATTATTTTATTACAAAATGACATACTTATTGTTGACAAAGCATCACTATCAACTGAACTCCGCTCAGAATCAATTTTTCGTTATCAATATGATTTATCGTTGTATACAGTCTACGGATATACATTAAATTTCCTTTTGTATTCAAATGATAATTGGATACATTTCTAAATTATTTTCATTAAAATTAAATATTCTATTACTTAAAATATGTTTATATAAAGAAAAAAAATACGTTCTACGTCTACATTAGTTATTGGTGCATATTTAAAACTATTTAATAAAGTAGGCGTTGTATATAAATTAACGTTTGCTTTACCTGACATGATTTTATAGTAAGACTTTAATTACATACATACATTTTTCTTTAATTTTTTTCCCATTTGGACCAGGAATATTTGTTAAAATATTTTTAATTTTTCTAAAAATATACATGCTTTTCAGTAGTTCACTATTAGATTCTTCCAAATTTTCAAGATTCACGGATAACTCGGATAAGTGTAATTTTATGAACACTAAACCACATTTGACTGCATTATTTTGAACAACCTGTTTCAGCTTTTCGACACTTGCAGCATCATCTGTTAAACTTTCAATCACGTTTGTAAAAGAAGAATTTAAATTATCACTAATTATTTGGTCGTTAACGTTTTTATAAATACTTGATATGTAATTTTTTCTTAAATTACTTTCGTCCGGAATTAATTTGCTAATATGTTTTTCTACAAATGATTAAAACACATGATTGCCAAGCTTTAGTAAAGAAATATTTGCAGCAACAAATGCATTACATAAATCTTTAAAAAATACATTTTTACTATTCGAATTTTAAGAAGTAATTAAAAATTGTTTTTTTTCTTCATTCCTTTGTAATGCATTTATGCGTTGAACTAAAATAAAATATACACGTATTTTTGAAATTATATGTAATATATTACGTGTAGTATGAGTGTTAAATACAAAACTTACCTGTTTTGGAATGATGATCTAATAGATATTATTTTACAGTAGACATACATTTATTACTTTCGAGACAACATATAACCTTTCCATCTGATGAAAATATTTCTTTATTTTCGTTGTAAGGAGCAATCCAATTCGAAATTTTACTTTTTAAAGTTGATTTTATTTTAGGCATTACGTCGAATACGTTCACTGTGCGGTCAAACTGATCAAAGAAATAGGTACTATGGTACCAACAAGTAAACGCACACGAATCGCTGTACTACTACGTTGGATTTAATTACCACCATACATATGTTTAGACGCTTATCGCTCGCTGAACTTTCCAAGCTTTTAAAAAATTCCAGATGAACCATAAACGTCTATGATTTAAAAACATGGTAAAATTGCATTATAAAATTAAATAGGCAGAATAATTTTAGTATATATCAGCTATATATTTAATCAGATCTGATTTATCTTTATTGCAAAAAAAAAAATTGCAATATCAATTAAATCCGGTTTTTAATAATAAATAATAAAATGATAAAGTAAAAACAAAATTATTAAAATAGTTAATATTTGGAAATAAATATAGTAGATAAATTTAATTATATTATAATTGAAAAAAATACTTAAAGAGCGAATGAGGGGGACGAACGCTCCATCGCCACCCCCCCCCACCCCTGGATCCACCACTGCCTGTAATATTTTTGTATTTATTTACTTGTTTGAGACGTTTGAATAGTGTAATTAATTACTACCATAAATTACTCATTATTGGTACTTTAGCAGGAAAACCATGAAATTTATTCAGGTCTACACCTGAATTAAGGTACAACGTGCAACGTTGTAAAATGTTTAAGTAAGGATTTTTTTTTAAAATGGGACATTCGTACTGTTTTTTATAAATAATATTATGTTTTATAATACAGTGTGCATTATATACACAATGTACGAGTACACGCAATATTTTTTTTAGTTTTTATGAATCAGAGAAAAACGCGAGTAGGTATTAAAAATAAATTAAATACTCTGAGAGAGTACTGAATACCTACTGTATACAATATGCACGATTTTTAATTGTTTACAAAATTGCATGACTTAATAAAAATAAATATACATATTCGTAAAACAATGTATTACCTATTAACTGTAAATACTAAAACTAATGGTAAAAAGACGGACATACTTTGCACGATTGGTGGGTCACTGTTGTGGGTAAGGAGTTGAAAGGTAGAGGGTAAATTTAATGTATATCTGTACGAAAGTGGTTCTGAGTAGAGTTCGGTTATACTATTTTTTAAAAAGCCGTAATATTTACGGTTTTTGTCAAAATTTGACATAAAATTCTTATTTATATACATATTAAAAAAAAGTACTACATTAAACTCAATTTTTTATTTTTTGCCACTAAGCACAACTTATAGTGAACCTTCTGTTAAATTATCAAGCATTTCTATTTTATCTTTCAATTTCATCCACATAGTACATACCGAATAAATATTACTGTACGATACTGTATTATTGTACAATATTATTGTTTCGTTGTTAACTTATTAGGTATAATGTACTCGAAGTCATATCAAACTCGTTTAGTTGTCTTACAATCACACGCGTATACAATTGTGAGTTTCTTACTTTTAATTAAAATCAATTAATTTTATGTTTTATGTAGAATTCCAAATATTTTATAGAGAACAAAACATTACATTGGTAGGTATAGAAGTAATCTAGATAATATTATTAAGTGTTTAAAAAAAACGTTATATTTACGTTTTGTTTTCATTTCGTATAGTTTCCAATTACAATTACTAATATAACATAGATACATGCCTTGTATTTTAATATTTGTTTTTTGATTGATTTAGTTGACGATGAGTTATAGATTTTATTTTTAGCGTTTTAGTTTGCAGTGATTGTAGCCCGTACATTTCTTCGAATTTAATTAAATATCTCTTACAAAGTGTCCTTCTTTACGTCCAATATATTTCTAAAACTAAAAGCCAAATATTTCGTTTGCTAGAATGTAAATTTGATTTGAAAAAATTATATCCGAATCAGTGTTAAATATAAGTTCCGATGAAAAAAAAATTCAGCACCAATGTAATTCTAGATAAATTTAGGAGTATTATAATATAGTATATTAATAGAACGTGTGACCATATTTAAGGTGTGATTTATTGAATATTCATGTTGGAAATAAACGATCGAGCGTGACATTATGCAACTACCAGTTTCCATAGCAATTAACATCTGTTAATATCACACATTGACTGCCGGAGTATGCCACACTCTAATCGACAACGTCGCTAGAATGGGGGACTGCGGTAGGCATATAAGCACCGTACGCGTCTGTGCGTACTGTGCGGTCCTTTTTTCTTCTCTGGGCTCGCTCAGCAGAATCATTCTCCCCCTCGTCTTTATCCTTATTCTCATCCCTTTTTTCTTACCTATACAATCGTATACAATTTTTCTCCCCAAATATAGTGGTTTTAGAACCTAAGGCGGGCAGCTATATTTGGTATACCTATCCATATCTTTGCAGTGGTTGCAGAACCGAAGGCGGAATACTGTATCTGATAATCCACAATCCCTATATACCTATCTATCGTGTTTGTCACTCTGTTTTGCAACAGATTTAGATTTCTGACTTTCTACAGTGTTCCACTGATGTCACAACTTGTAATCATATAAGTGCATTTTGAAGCGCTATCCTACGTGTTATGCCGTTGACCTTTGATCAATTTGTCATTGATTGCAACAGTCTGTCTATACGCCCGGAAAAGTGGCAAACGAAAAATAACATCCATGCGTTCTTGTATTCAGCACTCACGTTTATTTTTGAAAATTCGCATATTACATCTTGCACACCTGAGCAATAATTGTTCATTTATCTACAGGTCACTTTTGTCTTACTTATCATATTACCATCAGCGATCTTCAGGCGTACTTCAAACTGTTTTGGAAATCAACGAGGGTAAATGAAAGTGAGTTCACTTCCGTAATAGAATAGCATTTAGATTTTCCGTGAGTCAGGGTAGATAATGGCGAGATACAGGGAAGGTTTATTCACTCATTTATTTAAACAGACACTCGTACAGAATAGGATAATAGTTTTCGGACGATACAAAATAATAATCTATATTGTACGGTTTGATATTACTACATGCCATAAGGCATCATATTTGGTTGTCCACGCAACGTAGCGTCCGCGTGAGTTTGTAAAATCGTCGAACGTCACACACACACACACACACACATCCTCACCGTTCACCATTCTGTTCAGAAGAATATTATTAAGAAGTATAGAAGTATATTTAAGAAATACTACGGGTTATAAAATTAGTAAAGAAATCAAATTTTTACAATAAAACAAAGAGAACTTGGTACTTGGCAATGTTGTTTTAGTTTTTCGATATCACTATTACGATTTTACGAAAAAAGTTATTCGAGTTTATAAAACTAAAAACTGTTAGTCGTTTAAACAATTATAACTTTTTGTAATTTTAATATCGAAAAAATAAAATCAATGTTGCATAGTGCGTGTTCTTTTTTATAGTGACAATATGATGAAGTTTGTAGCTCGGGTAGTTTTTTTCCCATAAAAAAAAACAGTTTTTACAGTCAAATTATGGGCGGGAACACGTACTCTTTTAATAATTTCGCTTGTTCACATGTTTTAAAAACACACGTTTTTATTCATGAACATTTAATCACGAACCAGCAGTTTTCTCAGAGAATTTTAGGTGTATTTGATTTGATTTTTTTTTTTTTAATCAATATTGAGTCCTTTTATTATAAGTTTTAAGTTTTATTTTAAAGCTTTTTAAATATTTTACCCTTATTCCATGTACTTAAAATAAGTATTAAGTTAGATTTTCAAATAAGATCCCTCCTTTTTGAACACAGATTCGAGTGAAGAATAGTTTCTAAACATTTCAGCTTGTATAACACTTATTTCGTATTCACCTATTATCAGTTATAGCAGTAAAAGATTGAATTGGAGAAGTAAGGAAAGATAATGAATGTATCATTTAAAAATGAATATGAAATATATTACCTTTGCGGACTCTTCCGTTTTAAACTTAGAACTGTCATAACTCGTCATAAATGGTAAATTCGATAAATATCTTTAAGCAAATATTTTCCATTCGAATCTGTATTAAAAAAGAGGTTTGAAAAAACATTGAATCAAATTCACTTAAAATCTAGAAAATTGTTATTTCATGAAAAAATGGTCATTCTGTATCTATTTCAAAAACTGTCGAATTAAAAACTGATCTGCTATTTTATTATATTGTATTAGTTGTTCGTAGTTTATACGAACAAAATGGCGTGTAACTAAATATTCTACAATCAAAATAGTTTTTTGCATACCTAATTGTTGTCGAAGAAAATATTCAATTTATTTTAAACCACTTAACGTTTTATTATTTTTATTCTTCATGCACGAAACTTTAAGGGCTGTGTAGTTTGAATGGCCTTGTAAGCAAAAATATAGGTTTACGTATCTAACCTGACCATAATGTTTAGTTGATTACTGAGATACATAATCATTAATCATTAATAATTTTCAATCACTTTACATGGTATACGTCACATAAAGTGGTTAACCAATAAAAAAAGCGTATTATTATCTATGCAATTGCCTTATTATTATTAGTTTTTTTTTTATAGTTATAAATTTGACCATAGGTTTTTATTCGCGTGTGTTTTTTGTTTTGTATGGGCAATAGGTATTATCGACTGAAATTATTATTACCGTGTCGTACCTCGAATATAATACAAGTACGTATATCCGTATTATTTACGTATATAATAATAATATTCACGAATCCTATTATTATTCGTATTATTGGTATTTTCCCAAGATTTTTAGGATTTCGAAGCTATTACAAATTCAATAAATATTATCTACTTATATATAGGTATATATGCGATAAATTCGTAGGGCTTCGTTTGTATTTTTATTGGACCGATATAAAAAAAATTACCTACGAATAGTATAGTCTGCGGACAAATAAAACGAATTGGAAATCGCTTTTGGATCCCTGATAGTTTTCTAGACGTAGCAGTAAAACTTACGTCGACATTTTCGGATTACGTACATGCGGAATGACTCATTTTCGTCGTCTCAATTGATGTTGTTAAGGGAGATCGGACCCGAATGATATTGAAACATCATTATATAAG